TTGGGGCTGTTCAGCCTGGAGAGGAGAAAGCACCAGGGAGACCTTAAAGTGGCCTCCGAGTACTTAAAGAGGCTACAGGAAAGCTGGGGAAAGGACTGTTGATCAGAGAGTGTAGCAGTAGGGCAGGGGATAATGGCTTTAAACTGAAAAGATAGATTTACATTAGATGTAAGGAAGGAATTCTTTCCTGTGAAGGTGATGAGACCCTGGCACAGGTTGCCCAGAGAAGCTGTGGATGCCCCATCCCTGGCAGTGCTCAAGGCCAGGTTGGACGGGGCTTGGAGCAACCTGGGCTGGTGGGAGGTGTCCCTGCCCATGGCCAGAGAACTCGATGGTCTTTAAGGTCCTTTCCAATCCAAACCATTCTATGATTCCATGATAATAATTACACCGTGTAGCCACCTAATGCAGGTGCAATGTCAATCACTGAAAAATTGGGTTCACACAAACTGTTGGGTCAGGTTAACGGCGCAACTTATGGAGAGCACAGCTCCTCCTCCTGCTGGACGTTACCTCGCTGTAAGTAAGGGTGAGTAGTAGAGAAGACTGTAAGGCCAGATCTGTTTCTGTCCCCAGAAGAGGAGAAGGTGGTATTTGCTAGAAAAGAGTAGAACAGATGGCTGAAAAAGTTCTGCGGGGAGCGGAGTGCTGCTTTTGTGTGTGCCAGCAGCCTTCGGTGAAATTCCCCAGATCTCTGGATTCGCACCAGGATCGAGATAAAGCATGTTGGCTTCCGCTGCTGTGGGGGTTTGTTTTTCTGACCTTGTAGGTGTTGCTTTTTTTAGGCTTCACGAGAGTCCAGAAGAAGAGCCGCACATCCTGCTGGAGTGTGACAGCAGCGTGCTGGACGCCCTACAAAAACATCTGAAACTGTACAAGATCCGGAGGAAAGTAAACATCGCCCCTTGCCTTGACCTCTCTTTGTGGGCCGTTGTCCCCGGGGAAGAAGCTGGAGACGCTGCCGGTTCCCTCGCTCAATGTGCAGACCAGGCTCTAGTTTTAACTCCTGACCCCAGAACAGAAGTCATGGGCTGGCGGCTGATTACAAAGAAAGGAGCGAATCTATCGGAGATTATCCCTGGGAGTTATATTGGAAACCTTCAGGATTACCACAGGCACAGGTATAAACAAGGTAAAGCCAAGTCCTGGTTTTTACTCTGTGTCACTGGATTTTGGGAAGTGTGCTTATTTGTGTATTATCACAATTTCATTCTCTTCTCAGAGTCTATACGCTGATATAAGACACAGGAATAAATTATAAAAGCTGCGTTGGTATGTCTCCGTGTGTTTTACTTGTTATTAAGTACAAGTATTATTTGCTACTTGGAGGATAAAAAGTGGTCTGGTAGTTGTAATTCTCTCTGATGCCAGAATCAATATTTGGATACAGTTCCCTGTTACTAAGATTATGGGGTGGTGGGTTGGGAGTGCCAACAGCAAAAGAAAACCAGGATTATTCATTTTCGTAGAGGGAAGCTTCTGTGGCTTGAGTAATTTTGCTTATTTTGGACTTACGCACAGTCTGTGTGTTTTTCTCATTGCTAAGGAGGGAAAAGGAAACTCCCTTACTTACATTCCTAAGAATGTATGACTGGATTCGCAGAGTTAACTCAGAGGCCAAGGGCGGGACAACTGATTTGAGAGGAAACTCGATGCCAGGAGCTCCTGTGTGTGCGCAGAGCTCCCGTCGGTTTTACTGTATCTGCACAGAATGTGGATCAAATGAATTGGCCGACTGAAAGGTGATGGTCCTCTGCTTAAAAACCTGAGCCTGACTGGTTCAGAAAAGCAATGTTAATGGGTCGCACTGGGCTGAGCTGCCTCCCTGAAACACCAGCCTTGTCTCGGTGTGCTGCTGCAAAAGGCTCTGCTGCAAAATAGTGCAATTTTTGTGTCACAGGTGACGAAAAGAAGGGCTAATCAGACAGACATGCTGCCCTTGCTCTTTAACCGTTCTTTACATTCTTTAGCTCTCAAAAACCCAACTCTTACTGGCATTAAAATCTACTTGTGAGGTGTGGGCGAGAAAGATTTTGCCACCGGTGTTACATGATCGTCAGTGCTTCTGTATGGGAGTCTTCATCATTCTGAATTTCCACTGGTATGCTTGTGAGATGCTGTAAACGTCATGAAATTAGGTTCTTGTGCAGTTCTCTGTTTGACCTTATGAGTAAACACCATTTACAACTAATGAGTTCACCCAGGTCCAGATGGGAGTTGGGAAGTTCATCATTTCACGCTGCTTCGTATGGATTTCTCCTGGTCTTACAACTCACAGAAGAGGCGTATTCCAGAAATCTTAAATACTGAAGATCCTACCACATTTACCCGTTGTTTTTACTCTTTCTCTAGGGATTCCCGAAGGCGTAAAAGATCTCCCTCCCGGCGTCGCCCTCCCGCTGGAATCAAACCTGGCCTACATGAACGGCATCAGCTTTACCAAAGGCTGTTACATCGGACAGGAGTTGACGGCCAGGACCCACCACATGGGCGTCATTCGCAAACGTCTCCTGCCAGTCCGCTTTTCACCTTCTCTTCCCAATGACAGCGTTCCCGAGGGTGCCGAGATCTTCACTGAATCGGGAAAATCGGCCGGCAAGTTCCGGGCTGGAGGAGGTGAACTCGGTATAGCTTTGCTGAGGTTAGCTCATATAAATGAACCACTCTCTCTGAACGTAGCCGGTGATAAAGTGAAGCTCACGGCGAGTATACCCGAGTGGTGGCCAAAAACTGCTGGTAAATAAACGAGGGGCCACCACGTGCACGTTTGCCTTATTGAGAATATATTTTGCGCAACAAATCCGGGAAGGTGACTCTGCCTTTGGCCGTCGTTCGTGGCGTTTGATGCAGGATGTCGCGTTACAGGATTCTTCGAATCGGAACTGAACAGCAGGAACCCTGAGGACAGGAGGATAGTTTGCTAAGCGGCCTGGAGAGATCCGTACAGGGAATCGCACTTTTTTATTGAGAGTACGCTGTGGTTTTTTTAGGGGGTGCCACGTGTCGTTAGGTTGGGCAGCTGCTGAATTTTCAGCCCCACCGCTCCCTGAAGCGAGCGATGGGAGGAGGAGTTTTCCCTGTTGCGTGCACTGATTGTTTCTGTTGAGAATAACCATTCTGTGGTCTTATAGTGTTGTTTTGGTTTTTGTTTTGTTTTTTTCTTTAATGGCGAGCATACTTGCATTAGATATATACTCAGGCTAAAGTGTTGGCTGCACATTACTCCTCGCATTGAGCTGCTTCTTAAACTTGCTGATCGGGTGGGTGTTTTCCGCCACCTTTTGCTGACTGTGTTCAGGAAGAGGAATACCTTGTACTCCACATTACAGACCGTGATTTTAATAAGTCATCCCCGGTGGAAAAAGTCGCTAAGATCCCAGTCCCCTGCTCTGGTGCCGGCAGAGGGAGCACAGGCAGCAGCAGCCAGCTCCTGACCCGGACACACGTTTCCTTCACTCAGACTCTTTCAGAGAGGAAAAGTGGTATTTTACAGAAATAAGGTGCTCTGGTGCCTGCCCTGGGGTAACTGTTGTATGGGTGTGCTGGTATTTGGCAGAATAATCTCTCACTCGAAGCGTGCACCCAGCAACAGTCGAGAGGTGAATATTTTTAACATCAACATCTCCGCTCTGTCATCTCGTAAAAAAATCCTCCGCACTTTCCTGACGCTTTTGGCAGGGGTTAGCTCAGTCCCTCTGCAAAGCTGGTGAAGGGACAGCGTGTCCCCGTCTTGGAGCTTTACTCCTTCCCTTGGTGTTAAGCCGCAGTCCCCGGAGAAGGGGTTAAACCCACACGTGCTCTTGGCTTGACCTGGTGTTCCCAAGGGAGGATTTTCACTACACACCGGCTGCTTCACCACCACACTCTTCTGCCTTCGCGCTTTTTCTTGCTTCTGCTGTCGATGCCCTCCCTGTTGCTTCCTAAAAGCCAACCAGCTCTGTGCCTCCTAACTCTGCCAGGCTGCAGTAATTTACAGGAGCCCTATGTATTTTTGTATTGCAATAAAGATACTGCGTGCCTGCTCGTGGAATGATGCGTCCCCGGAAGGGCGTGATGAGAGAGATGGGCAGGGGAGACCAAAAAAACCCAGACTCAACCCTCTTGCATGCCTGTTTGTGGTCGAAAACCGTCCAACGCGCACTGTTTTGGTGTTACTGTTACTGTGAAAGGAATTTATCTGTGAAAAAAATGCTCACATTGGTTAAAAGTCTTTTCGCTTGCTGTGAAATGAATTTGCGAAGTATCTCATTAAAAGTTTATTGTATCAGTAATTTAAATGTGACTTCTCTGAAAGAGGAGAGACACTACCTTTTATGTACCTCGCAGAGAAACGGCGTACTTTTGTGGGCTGCTTGCTGCCAAGAAACGTGACTGTTTGTCCCCTCTGTATCAGGTTTGAGATTGTTAACAAAGTTGTTCTGCTGAAAAAAAAAATAAAATTAAACTGCAGTGCTTCACCCTTTCTGGATCGAATACTACAAAGGTGAGACTGTGCTGCTGGTGTTGGTGCTGTTTTGCCAAAAGCAGCTTTTCCCCCTCGGAATAGTTACGTTGTGCTGGAATGCACGCAGCCTCAATAAACACAAAGTTTTTTTTTTCTGTTAGGGGAAGCCCTGCACACTTAAGGTTTTTTTTTCTGTTAGGGGAAGCCCTGCATCTCTTTTCCTGTCACACACACATTTTCGTCTTATTAACGTATTTGAAGGGCTTTTCTTTTGCTAACAGCTGCAGATGGGGGTGGTTAGACACAAAATAAGGTGCTACTTCAAAAAAAAAAATCACTTCTGGAGAAAGGAGGTGGCAGGAATTGGAAAGGACAATCCTGATCCATTTTTGAATTCTCCCTCCCAGCCTCCTCCATCGAGAGTGGCTTTAGCTGGGTGGGTTTGGGCTGGAAGGCCGGGCTACGGGCCACGTAGGTACGAGGTTGGTTTTGCAGGGTCGCTGACCGAAGCCACGGCTGGAGCCGGCCCAAAAGGGGCGAGTGACCACCCACACATCCCTCACGTCAGCCAGATGCCCTCGGTGGCGCTTTGAACCACCGAATTCTGCGAGAAGGAGGGAGTGCGGGGAAATAAAACAGCCACGCCAGGTCCACACAGCCCCTCCGCCGCTCTGCGTGGGAAACGACTTGATGTAGGGTGCAGTTCTGTCAGATTTTCACTTTTAGGGTTCAGTTCTGCCAGTTTTTCCCTTTTTGGGTGCAGTTCTGCCAGTTTTTCGCTTTTAGGGTTCAGTTCTGCCAGTTTTTTGCTTTTAGGGTTCAGTTCTGCCAGTTTTTCCCTTTTTGGATGCATTTCTGTCAGTTTTTCACTTTTAGGGTTCAATTCTGCCAGTTTTTAGCTTTTAGGGTTCAGTTCTGCCAGTTTTTCCCTTTTAGGGTGCAGTTCTGCCAGCTTTTCACTTTTAGGGTTCAGTTCTGCCAGTTTTTCCCTTTTAGGGTGCAGTTCTGCCAG